TGTTTAATTGCAACTAAAAGCGGAAGCCAACAACAGAGCTGGGTACCGAATGGCAAAAAAAAACGAAGAGAAAATCACGAAAATAACGTTGGCTGCTCCCCTGAACTGTGTCAAAAACAAGGGCCAACAGATGCGAAAAAAGTACAGGAACGAAGCGAAACTAAAGATTCACACACGAGTTTGTTGTTTAGCTCTGTTTGTTTATTTGTTTGTTCGTTTGTCCTCTCTGTTTGTTTGCTGCCCGTTGCTTCCTGCAATTTGTGCACTGCCAAAGCTTCCTCTTAAAGCGCCCGGCGATGCAGTTCAGCTGCAGGTGTTGGGCAGGTGAGAGACAGTGGCCGGAGAAGAGCTTAGCCAGTCAGAGAATTTTCATAAATAATTTAATAAATTAAAATTCTATATTATTAAAAAATTCTTAATATTTTATTGCGACTAAGCTTCTATTCATTTTGTTTATTATTTGACCTTTAGACTGGGCTGCAAACATTAAGATCGCCGTTTTAGAGAATTGTTCTCACAAAATTCACCTCTCTCGGAGATGATCTCCTGCTTACCCAAGATTCGAACCACTGTTCTCACATGGAGACAAGGACGACATCCTTTTCCCATCTACTTGCTGCAGGTGGAGTGGCAATGGGAGGCCAAGGGGGCGGCAGGATGATGAGAAGTACTGGGGGCAAACTGAAACCGAGGCGGCTTTCCTTTCTGACACACCATTTTGCATGTTGCATGAGCTGTCTCTCGCGTTGGCTTCCTGCCCCCACCACCCTGCCAAAGCCCACCTGGGCCAGGCGCATATGTCACTCCTCTAAATAGCAGCGACAACGCTCACCTGAACTGGCCAAGCGATGGCTGTTGAGTGGGGGGACAGGTGAAATTTGCAGACGACTGGCCATGCATGCAAATGCAACATTTGCAACTGTTTGTGCAGTCCGCTGAGTTGTTGCCGTTTTCTCCTCTTATACTCTTAAAAGGGGTATTATTATGGAGTAATTACTGTACTAAGGAATGAGATGAAAAGGATTTTCAGTTTTTTTAAAGAGAAACTTAATTCTCTGCATACCATACTAAATGTTTTCTTATATATTTTCATTAAAGATGATCAGCAAAGGGTATCTTAGTTGTCGGTGTTCAAAACTATACTTTTTTTTTAGGTTCTCTGTTGCTCTTGCCGACAAGGTGGCAACACTGACACCAAGCAACGACACCAACAAACCTGCAACACCAACAACCGGCAGTAATTTGGACACCTTGTCTATGTGTGTTTGCTTAGGCGGGTGATAGAACGGGATCAAAAAGGGCCAAGGGATAGGGAGAAAGTGGTAAACAGAAAGCCAAAGGAACAGAACATGAGATGTACAATGGAGTAAAGAAGAGTAGAGAAGGTAAAGTCAAGTGAAGAAAAAACTCAAAAATGAAAGAACTTACAGCGGTAAGTTAAGCTCCTTAAAAAATACAAAAAAACATTTAAATAAGGTTTTTAGTTTATATATTCTATATAAATTGTACATTTTGATATAAATAAACTCATTTACAATTAAACAAACATTTATTGTTACTCTTTCAAGTGTCAGTATAAAAGTATTTCCTTCACAAACTTTCGTGTGTCAACCTGTTGCCATAAAATTTATAAGATTTCCGATGTTCGCAGACCTCAGAAAGTATTTTTTGATGTGTGTGCAAAGTGAAAAGTGAAAAAGTGCGAACAGTTGAGTGGAAATTGTGCAGTTGAGAAAAGTTAAGCACATCGATAATATATTTCATATTGGAAAAGCAAGTGCAACGCACCCGAAAGGAAAAACTTGGTAAATACTGAAAAGTCCAGGCCGTAAAACCCTTTCCACAAAGTTAACCACAAACGTAGACAGTAGTGGCCACATAACTAGGAACATAAAAATGTATTACTTGTAGTTTAACAAAAATTAAAATAAGTCTCTGTAATTTAAGATGCATATATGATTTTGTAAATAACATAATTTATAAAATAGTAAAACGGGCGTAAGAAATAAAAAAAAAATACAAGTTTTTATGCTACTAAAGGTTGCCCCTCCCTGGGCAAATGGCAAAGTTAAATTTGAAAATAATAGAAAAACTTTTCGCAGTCACTCTGGCAAAGCAGCAACAACAATAACAATAACAGCAAAGGCAACAACGGACAAACAATAACAATAATGCAACTAAAATGAAACTATTTCGAGTGAAATAAATCTGTTGGAATGTGCAAAACTCCACTGCCAGCGCATTGCGGCTTGCATTTTTCCAAACGGGACTCCAAAGTGGAAATGTCTGAGGAATGGGGCCCAAAATAGGCGGTGGGTGACTAAGGGGGGGCGTGGCAACAGAAAACTGGAAGTGGAATCATTTTTATTGCCAAACGTGTTTGTTGCTCAATTTAACTAAAAGTGCTGCCAACAGTCGGTGCTGTCTCCTCTCGTCCTTTTTCAGCCAAAGTAAAAAAGAGAGACAAAGAGATTTGGATAAATGGAGTAGAGTGAGTACAGTAAAAGGTTCTTAGGAAAATATGTAAAAATATGTAAAAATAATAATAATATTTTTGTTTGCGAACAATTTGAAAGCTTTGATTTCTTCCCAAAGAAAGGAATTACTTCAAAAACCTCTTCTTAAAATACCCAATATTGTATAAAAATATTGTATAAAAATATTGTATAAAAATATTTAAGGATCTGTGGAAATAAATGTGGAAATACTTAGCTCAATCAACCCCTCGCCGGCAAGCCCTTTCCCGTGGTATTGTGCTAATACCAAAAACTAAAAGACAAGACAAAGTTTTGTTGGTCATTGAACTGATTGCCATTTTAGCCGTTGCCATTTCATGGCATAAATATCGAAAAATGAATTTATTTATACCTATATGCACATGCAGGCAACAAGAACCCATCTGTGTATACTGTGTACACATGTGAGGATATTTATTGCAGGCATTGTTTGGCCATATTCCTGTTGTCTATTTATTTGCCGCCTTCCGTTTTGCCATTGTGTTTATTTGCGACTTTCCTTTTTTCAAGCCGCTGTGTTGTTTTGTTTTGTTTTGTTTTGGTGATTTGAAATCGATGCATAAATAATGGTTTATGCCAGCGGCTCTGGTTTCCCCTTATATCACTATTTTAGCCTCGGCCTGTTCAACAATGCACAGTGGCGTTCATAAGTTAAAAGATATTTGAAAGAAAGCTTAAAAATTGTGTTCAATCTTTTGTTTAATTTAATATATTTTTCATATTTTTTTGAAGAACTTTAACTTGTTAAAGAAAGGTCTATTTTAGACAACAAACTATAATATTTTATACCATTTTGTACTTATTCAATACTAGCGTTCATACTTTTTCGTACTACACTGTGAAGCCCATGGTGAAACCGGAAAATCACACAAATGTGACAAACTTTTTCAATTGCACAATATACGAGCATAAATTTTATGCAATAAACAGCAACCCAGAAAGAGCCACAAAAATCGAAATAAAACGGAGAAACTTGCCACCGAGAAAAGGAGCAAAAGGCGAAGGGCTAAAACAAAAGATTACCAAATCAACAATCGGACTGAAAAGGGCGCGAAAGATCGTGAAAAGTTTTAGCTGCTTTCGTGACGTTTGCCAATTGCTGAATTCTCGATTCCAATGACAATCGCCGCAGGATAAAACAACAACAACAGCAACAGCAGCAACAACAAGGTGATGGCACGCCCACTTAGCCAGCTGTCGGTTCAACGCCCCCCAAAAAGGGCAAAGGAGCGAACGAACGGGTTTCGTCGCTTACGTGACTTGTTTCATAAACAAACAGAAGGCGCAGAAAATTGGCACAAAATTGCCAGCGAATCCTTGCCAAAGGACACAGGTGTGTGGGCTTGTGTAGCAAGCGGCACCCCTCCTGACATTGAGCGGCGTGAAAGTTTGCCCCCGTGATTTCTCCATTGGCAATTTGGCACTTTTGCATACAAGTTGGTAATTGTTTCCGCCAAGCATTTGTGCAACTGCAGCTGGGGCCACTGCATGTCCTTTCTGCCATTTTAATCATTCAAAAGTCGTGGGCAGCTGCGTTCCCTTGTCTTCGGTCGTCAGACAGGACATCCTCCGGCTTCAGTCAAGACCCGGACAGTTCTAAATGAGGCATCGAAAGGACACGAAAGTTTTCTCATTATGCCACACACACACACACGTAAACTCCCCCTTGTGAGTTTTCCGTTCTCACCCAACAAAAATTATCTGAAACTGAAATAATCAAGGAGCAAAAAATGGAAAGTTGTCGTCACTTTTCTTAACACACAAATGGAAAGAGAGTGCAGTCAAAGAAAATCATTAAAATTTCCAAATATTCAAGTAACAATAAATCTAATCTAAGACGAAATGGAACATTAAAATTTTAAAAAATAGTTAAAAAGTCTCTCAGTCTCAAGACAAATTATCAAACTCTTTCTTGAACTGTCTATAAGGCTTAGACGGAATCTATTTTGGCCAGTGGTTTATATATCTGAACTCCTGGGAAGCAACGAAGACGCTCGTGCAGCTATGCAACCCAAAGACAGGTGAATCAAGTTTTCACTTCCTATCCGGGGGGATAGTTCTGCGTGCGGCGAAACTTTTCATGCATATTCAACGTCATTAGAAAGTCAGGACAAAGTAGCTGAAGGCAGCAAGGCAGGAACCTTCACGGCAAGTAAAACAAACCAGTTTAAGGCGCTAAAATGTAGACTATAAATTATGTCATAGGTATAGTCGACCTTTCTCCACGGAGCTCTCTTTCTCAGTGTCTCTAGTGAAAGCCGAGGACGTAAGTGGGCTTGAAAGGAGTGCATTTAGAAAGTTCTGAAAAGCGTCTTAATTGCAATGCAGCAGTAAGGATTCCGGGGTAAATTTAATTTTTTTATACAGATTTTCGGGGAAGTTAATTGCTAGAGAAATTCATTTTTATTTTTTATCTAAAAATGCGAATAAAAAAAAGAGAGCTAGTGAAACCATATATGCATTTCACTGAAAAATTCTCGAAGCTTAAAGTGTAATGGAACAATTTAATGTGTAAATACAAATTGAATGAAAATGAACATCGTAACTTTGTGGATCCTACATAATAATACAGCATCGTCTACCTATTTTGGCGTAGCGTGGCTGTAATGGCTTGCCGCTATAGTTTCGTTCCTCCGCCGGTGTCTGATCCTGCGACTGCTCCAATTGTGGCTGCACATCTCCCACGATATCAATGACCACCTCTACATCAGAATGGGCCATTGGGTTGCTTGCACTCCTGCTCAGCTTGGGGTCATATGACTCGGCTCCTATATTCATAGCCTGATGCTCGTCCAGCTCAAGGTCAACCATCTCCTCGTTGGAGTCGCCATCAAAGACGGGATCGATTGAGTGCAGCTGTTCCACGCTGAACTCCCGCCAAATGGAATCGAAACGCGGTCCATAGGATATGTCCTCCGATGAGGCCGTGCTCCAACGGGTGTAGGGTCCCACTATGGAAATTAAAATGGAAAAGAAATATAATGAGGTGAACGAATATAAATTCTCGGCTGATCCCTACTTATAACCCCTCTATGATGATAGTAGCCAACTGGGGAGTATAGCTACTACCTTAGCATACAGTGCCATGTGATCGTGATCGTGGACTTTGTTTTCCATTCATCAAAGTACTTACAACTATCGAAAAGCTTGGCGGCCAGCACTTCGGCCTTGCACTGCGGTATAAATACCGGGGCGTTCGGATTGAGGCGTTTGTCTAAGGATCTTGGACTGGGCTGGGGAGTGATCGGCGGCGGTGGGGGTACCAGTTCGGCAGGGAGCGGGGTCTCGGCACCACCCACATTCCGTTCAATGTCGTCGGCCTTGTTGTTACTGTTGCTGTCGGTGTCGTTATCCTCGGCGGTAGACATGCTGCGCAGAACGAGTTAAGCTTGAATGGGCGCTGTACTTTACATTTAACTTTCAAACAAGCTAAGATTTGTGTTTTCAGGGCAGCTTCTCCAGGATCGATTTGACAGCTAACTCAGATAGCTACTCGAATCGCTTAGAGCTGAGGCTCAGCCCTGGGCGGCCCGGAGGAAGGCCTCCTAGCGCAAACCGCGTCGGTTGTATTTATTTTTACAATTTTGATAAAATTCGGGACGGGCTCTGTTTGTGTATTGTCTCTCCAAGTGTAGTTTTCGTGGTAATTAACATCTGTTCATCGTAGGTAATGTTTAGTTTGGAATGTTTGGAAATGCCCAGAGAATGATGCAAATTAAATTTGAAATGGTCCGAAAAGGCTACTAAGGTTTTTTTTACCCGAATGAAAAATTAAACAAAAATGCTTCTCAGTCGCTGTATTAAGTTTTTGCCAATTAGATTTAAGAATAAATAAAGCCTAATCCTATTACCTTTCTTGAATATTAAACAAAGCAAACAGATTAAATTACTAAAATAAATAGAGCTTATTTTGGTTCAGTACAAATTTAAACCAAATTCTATATCAGCTCAAAGATTATTAGGTAATCTGTTTATTATCGTTGGTGGGTTGTATTTGAAAAGCTCCCCAGTTTCCTGTGTATGCACTTAATTTCATTTTATAAATTCTGTTAAACTTTCCCTTGACATCTTTGCCCGGCTGGCCAGGGGACACAAATCGAGTTTGACGAAATTTTAATTAAATAATAAGCGTTACAACAATTTTAATAAGTCGTATAAATAAATTTAGATAAATTCCACACAAAGTGGAGTGAAATTTCGAAACACCCACTACACTCTCTCCTTCTTCCCCGTGTCGTTCTCCCTGCGACAAATTAAATTTTGTGAAAACCGCAAATTGACAAATATTTTCGTTTGCACAACATGAAGAAGGCAAAACTCACAGCACTCGCATTGAATCTGGTGTATTTTAATTGATTTGCGCTAAAATTTATTGATTTCATTTTGTCAACAGTTGTTGCCAGATGAACCGCAAAGGACCCCAAAACCCCAGGACCCCAGACCCTTTAGCCAACTTTGGCTCATTAGGGGAGGCTCCAATATTTGCATTTATTTTGTGCGTGGGCTAATTTGCATGTGCGAGTGTGTTAAAACATAAATTAGTTGACTCAACCGACACGCCCACACACTCAAACAAAATAATATGTTGGGGGGCGGGCAGCTATAGAAAGGAATCGAGAATTTATGGCCAATTCATTGCATTTGCGTTGCTGCATCGACCGATTTCCGCGTATCGAACTAATAGCGGTTTCAACTGTTTTTAGTTAATTGCGCAAATTACTTGCGCTAATTTATTGGCCAGCCTTCAATGGCCATTTTGCGGATTCGATCTCTATATGAACGAGGTTACTGTACGTATACGCATTTTTTGTGCGATTCTTTGGGATTAGGAAGGTTAATTAGAATGAAAAATAGTTGTGTGCTTTAATAACTGCGTTTGTAAACATTACAAAATTAGTATTTGAAGATTACAGTTAATTATTATTACCAAAATTATTAAATCCCTCTTGTAAACGAATAATTTGTAGCTTAGTTTCATTTAAGGAAGTGTGTGTAATATTTAAAGGCAATTAAGTAATGGTTAAAATTTACTTAGGTATATTTAATTTTCATTTCATAAATACTCCTTCCTTGTCCTTTCACAAATTGATTTTAATTGACACTATTAGGCATCAATGCAAGGAAAGCCTTGAATTCATAAATCTCCGTGTGCGGGAAAATAGGGAAGGAGTCAAGCCGGCTTTATTTAGTTACTCAATCAGGGACACAAACAGCACTCGAGTTGTTGGCCAGTTTCAGTTCCAGTTGGCAGGCAGGCGAAGGGCAAAGTAAATAAACGAAACGAAGTCTTCGCACTTTTGTTAGGTCGCTCCTCCCCAGTGTTGACGGTCTTTTGAAGGGACAAAACGTTGCTCCTGGCCTGATAAGGCGTAAACTGAAAACAAATTAAGGTAAATTGAAAATGTAAATAGGAAGGACAACGAGTTTTGGTCCTAGTTTTCCAACATTTAAACGATTATAACGACCATAATTAGGCTTACAAATCAGATATAATATTTAAAGCATATTCAGATGGACTTAAGGTGTTTTCTACGCCCACCTTTCTAATATATTATAATACAAAAATAATTGATAAGGCTCCATTTGACGGGAAACCGGCCAAGCTGTCGGCTCTGTTACTCCGCCAGTCTGTCAGTCAGTCAGTCAGTCACCCACTTGGTCAGTCACTTGTGCTGCACATTCAAGTGTCACTGATTTGAGGATAAGCACTTCACAGCCAACTTGATAGCCTCCGTAATCCCCGTCCCGGGGCAACCCCTATATAGAATGGGATCGGTTTGTGCCGTGTGCCGGGCTGGTTGGCTGGCCAGCCAGCCGTAGTTGGGAATATCACAGCAGTACGCTCTCTCATTCGAGGGCCACTCGTGCAAAGCGAACTAATTTGAATATATAAAATCAGCAAGAACTGCGGGGGAAGCCCCACAGAGACTGATGGACACACAGGCAGACAGACGGACTGAGAGACAGAACGAAAGACAGTCGGGGAGGCGGAAGGACTGAGGGCAAATGGCAAAGAGCGGATCCCAACTGAATGGCTGACTCAATGACCAACTGGATGAATGACTGGGCCAGTGAAATTGATGAAAACAAAGGCCGTCATTACGCTCTGCTATCTTTTGTGCCGCCTTAATTGATATGCCTCAAATCGTTGACAAACTCGATTAAGTCCGGCAAAAAGGGTTTTCATTTAATTGGTTGCTTCATTTGAGTATAAACTTGGTTTTCGGATGACTCTTGTCAGTTCATTTCAAATCCCAATTGTATTACATTTTAAGTTAGCTTTTATTATCATTTCTAAGGGGTAACAATTTCGAGTTATAAATATTTTTAGCAAACTATATCCCTGACCCAGGAGGTAAGCCCTTTCCGGCTGAAATTTGATAAATCGAAATTACATTCTGTGCGAAATGGAAACGCATTGCGCAGCATTTTTAAGCCGCTCGTTGATGGGCTGCACCTGTCCTGCCTTGATCCCTTTCTGCCACCCTTTCTGGCCTAAATCGGGGTCAAAAGTCGGACCAAGCCAAGCGCAACTTATTTATAGTGGCCCGTGCGATGGCGACGCAATTTATCGTCATTAGCGGGAGCCACAACGAAATTTTCACTTGAAAATTTCACGAGCTGAAATGAAATGCCTGCGGTGTGTCCTGTCGCTCCTCCGTGGTTCATTCGGCTTGGTTCGGTTCGGTGCGTCCTGGTCCTTTGCTTTTGTTAATGACGGTACACTGAACCAAATGCATTTGTTAATTACAAGAAAGGCAAAGGCATTAAAGGGACAGAGAACAAAAGAAACTCGCTTAGAAAGGAGTAGATTTTAGTATTCAAATTAAGTTAAATTATAATAATGTAATAAATATTAAAAAATATTCCCTAATTTCAAGAAATTTTCTTTCAGCGCAATGAACAGGATGAGGAGACGACAACGACGACGACGACAACGACGACGACGACAGCGGTAATGATGATTACTGGTGGTTTTAAATCATCCGCTAATTATTGCAATTGTTGCTCTCCGTCGCTGGTCTTCCCCCGAAGGCTCGACACCGCTGATGACGTTCCCCACTCGCTCCTCCAGCCGAATAATTGATGATGGCCAAGCGGCAGACCAGACTGGTAATCAAATACTCAAAGAGTTGATTTGCTTTTTGAAGAACTTGAGGGGCCGCAGGGCAAACAATTTCCCCAGGCAAACCAAAAAAAAAAAAAAGGGGAAGAAATAAACACACCCCGCTGGAAAATGGAAAACGCAATCGCTGCCAATTGAGGGGGCGTGGAAGCCTTGCATAAATGCATGTGTGCGAATCCCCACAGCAATCAACCTAATTTATTATGGCCCCCGTGAAACCCAGGGAAACGCGAACCACATCCTCGATGGCTGTCATTCATCTATGAATGTTAATAATTTCAATTGCCGTTTGGCAAAATTCTCAGTACAGAATGCAACAGCCGCAGCAGAGTTGCGGCTATTTAGCGTGGCTGCTGGCTGGCAGTCGTTTTGCGGCTTTTATTTTCTAGGTTTCTGTGAAGCCCTTGAGCCTGGCAGAAAAAAAATTTATAAATTAGTCATATTTTTAATCGTTTGCGGTCTATGTGGAAAAGTAAAGTGGAAAAGTAATTGGTTGGCATTGAAAAGAGAAAAACCAATCAATATAGAAAGGATATTTTTCGAAGACTTGAACTACAAAAATCACTAAGATTAAGATAATTTCTTGAAACTACAGGGTTAACTACAGATGTAATCGACAGCAAAACACGTGTAGAAGAGCAATGATTCAATACATTTTAAATTTAATAGTAATAAAAAAAAAGGTTTTATAAACTTATATGAAATTCATCCAAGTTCATATCTAGGGTACTCTTTTATTAATTAATCTTGAGAATTAACAAAAACTAGCATGCGTGGGCCACACCGAGTATTCCAACTGCATAGCAGATCAGGTCTATATCAATATTTGTATTTTACTTGTAGAGTCCACACGTGCTTTTGGTACTCCCACGGCCTCCGCCCACCTTCAGAGCCGGGCTAATGCCCACACATTGACACATACGTGAGCACACGGACGGACTGGCGGACAGACAAACAACTCATTTCGCTCAGTGAACTCAACAATAAGCATAAAAACATTCATCACTGATTCACTACGTGAGCTGGTTCACCAATTATGATGGCCTAGGTGGGGCCCCGGCAGGGATATGGGGATGGATATATGGTGATATATCTGGGGATCTGGGGACGTGGGGATAGCTATGGCTGGTGCCGGTGATGATGATGAATATATGAGTGCCGCTGATTGAATATCAACGCCCGGGCACAAAAGGAATTCCTCATGCCGTTCGGCTTCTTTTAACACTTTTCGTCCTCGTTTCCGGCAGCAGTTTTCCCTCGTTTCCCCACATTACAAACATATATACATATATCTGTATCCCTGTGAGCATATTTTCTGCGCTAGTCAACTGTCAGATTTTCGTTGTGCCAGCATAAAATGTTAAAATAATGCCACACAGACATAGACAGGCCGTCTTTATTTTTCGGTTCGGTTTGGTTCGGCTTCAGTTCAGGGATCCCTCAGGCTCCCATTCCGCATCCAGGTCCCCACTCACCAGCTACATTATCTCCCATTTGTCGCATACAATCTGCTTGCCTTGTTCTTTCATTTTCCCTCCATTTTTTCTTAGTTTTTTTTTTTTTTCCTGTTTTCTGCAGATTGTTGTTGGCGTTACAGCCATTTCCGGTGACAGTGTAATATTG